TTAAAATTTTCTTTTTAAAAAAAATACTTAAAGTCTATTGAATTAAAATCTAATTGAAGTAAGATTCTTTTAGAAACTGCTTTACATTTTTCTAAAGAGTAGTGTTCTTTATTAAAGTTTTTAATAAAATTTTTCCATAAAAAAGGTCCTCGATATTTAATTTGATAAGAACTTATTTTTAAATTTATTCTCGGAACAATAAAGTTATCCTCTGAAAACTTTGTTGGATACTTATGAGATATTTCGCTAAAATAAGATTGAAATATAAGTGGAGATATTCCATGTTTCATTTTAAACATGAAAGTAATGTTTGGTAAATGTTTAGTTTATAAATATTTAAGGCCTTGAGACGATTTAATAGTGGTTCGCAATAAACAGTTCTGTTTGCCCCAAATACAATCCTACAAGCATGCTTTTGTTTACTATAATGTTTTTTGAGTTTTCCGTAATTCGTACTTCCCCATGCAATGTTGCAGTAAGAAAGATAGCTGTGAATAAATGAAAAATAAATTTTCGTTAGAGCTTTTGCGTTTAAAAATGGTTTTGTTTTATAAAGTACGGAAATATTATAAGAGATTTTACTTTCAATAGATTGGATGTGAAACTTCCATGACAAATTTTCATCAAGAATTACGCCTAAAAAATTAACAGTAGATTCCCTTTTTACATCTGTTTTATTGAATAAAAGATTTGGCAGTTTAAGTGGAATTTTATCAACTTTATTTGGTTTGTGGAACAGGATGAATTTAGTTTTATCTACATTTAGTGAAAGGCGGTTACTTATAAACCATTCATTTACTTTAGATATTTCTTCATTAAAAATTTTAAAGAGAATTTTTATATCTCTGTGAGAATAAAACAGATTGGAATCGTCAGCAAACAATATAAGATATAATTTTTTAGATGCTAAAAATAAGTCGTTTATATATATTAGAAACAATAATGGTCCTAAGATAGATCCTTGAGGAACCCCGCAATTTATAAGCTTTTTTTTGGTTTCATTTGTTTCATAGGTTATGCATTGTTTTCTGTTAGTCAAGTAGTTTTTAAACCAAAGTAAGTTTAAGTTGTTTACTCCATAAAGTTTTAATTTTTTTATAAGGATTTCATGATTGACAGTGTCAAATGCTTTGGATAAATCAATGAAAACTCCTAAGGTAAAATAATCTTTATCAAAAGCATCCGATATATGGTTTACAAGCTTAATTACCGCGTGATCCGTAGAATGATTTTTTTTAAACCCAAATTGTTTGTTGTACAGAATATTATTTGATACTAGATGATTATAAAGATTATATTATTTGATTATATTATTTGATACTAGATGATCTAGTATCAAATTATATAAATGATTATATTATTTGATACTAGATGATTAAAAATGTGAAACAATAAGGGTTCAATAATATCAAAGACTGATTTAACTAGTTTGACGCTAATTTTATCTATGCCTGCACTTTTGTTATTATTAAAATTGCCTGGGGAAGTACTGAAAAAAGTAAATTACTTCGTCTTTATCGCTGTCAGAAACAAGCAATTCGCATAATTAACTTTGCTGATCGTTTTTCTTATTGTAAACCTTATTTTATTGAGATGAAAATTTTAAATATATTTGAACTTAATGTTTTAAAGATTTTATGCTTTGTTTATATGTGGAAAAACAATCTATCCCCCCCAGTCTTTAAAGATTTTTTAGTTTAAAACCCAGCAACAAATACACTCTTAAAAGGAAATTTTTTTTTAACGAACCTTTTTGTCAAACAAATTTTAATTGATTTTGTCTTGCTATCGTGCACCGAACCTATGGAATAAACTTGTTTTACCTAATGTCGATTTTGATCGACCAAATTCTTTTTGCCTTTTTAAAAACAAAATTAATAATCTAATTTTATCCCTCGATAACATTTTAGACGACTATTAATTAATTTATCTATTACTTAACTTTTTGTTATTTTTTCCCTAAAGTTTTGTTGTTAACAACTATTTATATTTAAAGATTTGCTAATGCAAAAGTTCTATATATATATTTTACTTTACTGTAACGTATACTTTACAAAGTATTCGTAAATTATATAGTTTATAAATGTTTTTTAAGGTTTCGATGATAAGATCTTAGTGATCTTCTTTTGGAAACCTAGTTTATACTGTTATCACGATTTGTATATATATATATATATATATATATATATATATATATTTGTAAAGTAATTTTAATAGTTTATTGTATTGTAAAACGACTAACTTTGTAAGCTTAAAAAAAAAATAATAATAATAATAAAAAATAATAATAATACGCCAATATTGGCCAATTGTTATATCCTCATTATAGGCGCGATATTATTTACAATATTGGCGCAATATTTTTAAAATCATCGCACCAATATTGCAATGTGAAAATTTTGCCAATATTGACCAATATTGACTTTACACTATTAGCGCACTATTGTATTACCAATCTAGGCAAATATTAACTCTACAATATTGGCGCAACATTGTAGCACCAATATTGAAAAATATTGGCAAAACGTTAACATTGCGATTTAGTTTATAATATTGCGTCATTATTGCATACAATATCACCCAATATTGCGCCAATATTGTTTGCTACTTAGAAAATGTGTAAAAAACTGTTTAAAAGCTTTTTAAATAGTTTTTTTTACAAATTGATTTTTATAATAGGATCTTCAATATTTTCTTTAACATGTATATCTCTGCTAATCTGTTATAAGATTTAGCTTTGTTTATTGAGTTTTATGTCAAATTAATGTAATTATTATTATTATTATAATTTCATTAATCACCATTTCTGAATATGTTTACGAGGTAAAAATACAAACTAACTAATATAATTTTAAATCCAGCTATAAAAATAGAAAGTAAAACAAAATATAAAAAAAAATCATTTAAGAACGCTTCTATCATGAGTATTTTTAAATATTGTTGTCTGTTGCTTTGCATTTAAATTTAGCATGGTTGTACCATTAAAGAATATCTTCAGTAATCACATTTTCTGAATACCTATTACAAACAGCATTATATTTTTTATCTTTATTCTATGAGTTTTCCATAATTTTTTTATACCATCTAAAAAGGTATGTTTAACTGAATTATAATTATTGAGCTAGGAGTTAATGTTTTTTAAAGTTACTATATTGTTTAAAAGGCGGATAAACAAATTTATTTTGTTTTATATTTGTAATTTATAATCGGGTAAAATATTTTTTTAATTGAGTTTTAGGATAACATAAATAATGAAAATGTCACTTAGTAGTTTATTTCAATTTTATTCGGTTATCCCGTTTTGTTTTGTAGATAATGTATTAAGCAATAGTGGAAATGGACCTTAAGTACTTAAAACGTTAGTAATACACATTTTATTATTTAACAACACTTTTATCGTTGTTTCAGATTTCATTTTTGTCAACAATGGCCAAGCTACTTTGTTCAGCATAAATATGTAAATAATAATTAAAACTGTTTTATTTTAAAGTTAATATTATACATTGCTTGTTTATTATTAAAAATCCCTCACCAATAAAAAAAGGATTTAATCCTAGAGTATTTACCTTTATTTGTATTTTAAAAACAGCAGTGCAGCAACATCATCAGCAGCAACAGCAACAGATAACAACAACAGCAAAAGATATCATCAACAACATCATTAACAACAACAACATTAAAAGATAAATTGATTTGCAGTGCTTATTATTATGGTTCACATCTTTAATCATATCATAGTTGTTTAGTTTTCTTTTTAATTTTTAATTTAAAAGGTTTATTAATCAGTTTACATAAATGAAGAAAGGACCTCCATCCTATGCATTTTTTAAAAGAGGACCTGTAACCTTATAAATACCCTTTCATTTTAAGGAAAGTGGGTTCCCTAGAAACAAATGTATAAGAAAACATTACGCTACATTTGTTATTAGAATTTAGGTTTTTGGCAATCTACTTATTGTTGATATAGTTAAATGTTTGTGTGACAATTTTTTTTTTTTTTTTTTTAATTGTGTATATATTGTTGTTTTAATTATTATAAAATTATTTTATTGTGTTAAAAATAATTTTTGTTTTTCTTTATACTTAAAAACGTATTTTGTTTCTAAAAAAATTTTATTGAAAAGGTTTTTAACGATTGATGTTTTTTTTAATTATCATAAACCTACATTTTTTGTTTTTTTTGCTCGATGAATAATGTTTTCCTAATTGAAAACATAAACATATATATATACTAATATAATTAAGTATATATAGTTTTATTATGCGTATAATTGATTTAGTAAAAGCTCCTCTCGATAAAGAAATTTAATTTCTTTTTATTTTTAAATAATTTTTTCAAACTGCTTATTAAACGTCGTGGGAGTGGTCTTTAGTAGCAAGATTTTACCTTTATTACCACTATATTTTTCATAAAAAAAAGGGAGAAGTATTTTGCAACTGTCATCGTTTAAAAGAAAATTACGATTTTTATAGTAGTTGTTTGGAATTAGAATTACAATAACTTTTAGTTACAACTACATTACTCTGGCTAAGATAAATAAAAACATTTTGATAGAATCTTAGCGTTGGATGTCTAAAAAACAATAAACTATACCAAAAAAAATTTGATTTAAAAAACTTTTTTTTTTTTTTTTTAATCGATTCTTAAATTAAAACGACATTCGCGAATTAAAGCGAATCGTTTTGCAGGACCCTAATACAAACCGATAAATATTTGGATTTTTCACCGGTCTTTGAAAATTAGCTACATTAAACACACAAAAAGGTTGGATCCACCAATGTACTATAAAAACCATAAACTATTTTGTTTTATTTTATGCTATGCCCATTTTCAATTATTCTAAATAATTTCAAAATATGAATTCCTCTTTAGAGTTCAATGAGTTCGTCTATCTTTAATTTAATTGACTGATAAGTTCGTCTACCTTTAATTTAATTGACTTATAAGCAAACCTGCTGATTTAAAACTTCATTTTTTTTTTTTTAAATAATTCAATTACCCATCCATTGCAGAGATTCAGTTGTTAAAACTTGTTCAAAAGTTCCTTCTATTTTCAAACATGCAGAAGAATTTAAGCTTTTAGATATATTTTCCTCAAACTCTTTGTTAGGAACCACTAACCATTTTTTATGTATCTTGTGATACATTAGGAAACTTTTTTGATTTCTATGTACAACATACAAATCTCTTGTTAATTTATGATAGCCAAGAACAGATCCAACGCGAACATCAAGTTCTATAATAGCATATATATATATATATTATATATATATATATATATATATATATATATATATATATATATATATATATATATATATATATATATATATATATATATATATATATATATATATATATATATATATATATATATATTTATATATATATATATATATATATATATATATATATATATATATATATATATATATATATATATATATATATATATATATATATATATATATAAATGATTTAAGTAAGAGATACTTCAAGAAAAAAAGTTTATATCGAAATCGCAATTTCGTTATTTATAAATAAATATTTTTTTAAATATTAAACCCAAATAAAAAAGCATTTACTTGTCCACTTTTCACCGTAGTTATTTGAAACATAACACGCTGTCTTTTGCCTTAAACAAAAAGATTGATGTTATAAAATCATTTAAGAATTAAAATGAAATAAAATGCCAAAATTGCAATTAGTGTAAATCTTTGCAAAAGAGATGCTTGTAAAAACTCTTTATAAATTAAATAATAAAACATTTTTAGTTGTAAATAATAATTAACATTACGTTGTCACATATAAATTCAAGCAAGCATATATCAAAGATTCTAATTGATCCCAGCAAATGCCACGACTATAGCTTTCTAAAAACAACAAAAAAAAAGCATTTATGGGTTTCATCATAAAAACTTATAAACTTTTTCTCAATGATGTAGTGTGTAATTTTTTTTTTTAGTATTGGTTTTTAATATTTTAAGTGTTTTATTATTTTGGTGTCCATTCTTTAAAATGTGCAGAAAAAGAATATTTGTACCTTCAAAAGTTTGGTTTTAAAACCTAAAGCCAAAAGTAACACATATTAGATTTAAATATATTATTATATATATTAATATATTATTTGAATTTTTTTTTTTTTTTTTCTGGTATATATAAAATATACCAGAAAAACAACATTGTGTTTTTATTTAAATTGACATTGTCTATTTTTACACCACTATTACATCAAAAATTTAAAGTAATACAGTACTAATACGAAGAGAACACCAGAGTCATTAAACATTGCAGAAAGTCCTTGCTAATCTTTAACTACGAAACATGGAAGAAAAACTTATCACTCGACTTCATTGATGTCACAGTAAGTTGTTTTGACGGTGCAGAAGTTTGTGAACCGGTGGGCCTATATATATTAGACTCACTATCTAAAATAAAAAATAAAGAAGATGTTGGACAATATCGTGACAATGGTTTGATAGTTCTTCGTAAAAAAACTGGATCACAAATTGATAGGTTACGAAAAAACATAAGTAAAGGAATAAAAATGATCGGTTTTATAATAGAGATTCAAACAAACGGAGTCAACTTCTTAGATATCTCCTTTAACTTAGAAAATATTCTTACAGACCTCTCAAAAAATCAAATGAATATCTACGTTACATTCACATTGAGTCCAACCATGCTCCGCAAATATTAAAGCGAATCCCCATCTCTATCAACGACATATTATCACGAAATTCATCAAATGAAAAAACATTCAATTTATCTACACCAGAATACGAAGGTGAATAAAGAAGAAATAACTTCACTGGTTTTAATTCAATTTATAATCTCCAAAAAAGTGAAATAAAGAAAAGAAAAAGCAAAAGAAATATATTATGGTTCAACCCCTGTATAGTAAAAGCGTTTCTACCAATGTCGGACATATCTTCCTAAACTTAATCGACAAAGATTTTCTAACATCCCACCCACTAAGTAAACTATTTAATTGAAAAACCATCAAAGTGAGTTACAGATGCACCAAAAAAATTGCGAAAATTATAAAAAACCACAACATAAAAATCAGTTAAAAAAAACCAAAATAATACCCACCCTGCAATTGCATAAATAAAGGAAACTGCCCTATAATAGGAAAATGTAGAGCCTCCAACTTTATTTATAAATGTGCAGTATCGACAAACACTCATTCACAAACAAAAAATTGAAAAATTCAACCACTCTTTCAAATTATATATGGCACATAATAGAAAACTTAAAAAAGACACCCAAATTAACCTGGTCAATAATTAAACAAGTCCCAGCCTACAACAACGTGACAAAAACATGCTTGCTTTGTCTTCACGAAAAACTTTGCATAATATCATACAAAGGTACGCAAGAACTATTAAATAAAAAAACAGAAATAATATTTAAGTGACGTCATGAAAAAAAGTTCTTGATTGACAACCACGAGCCCAAAGACTAAAAACCAAACCACGCTTGTAAATAGTTAACATTTTATAACCGTTTTTGAACGCCACAAAGTTTGTTGAGTATATTTTTAACAAAAAAAAACAATCTATTTTTTACTTGATAATTGCTAAACGCATGAAACTTTTAGTAGTAAAAATCATGTAGTTTTTTTCATTTAAACTCGTCAAAAAAAAACATTTATATAGCTCTGATATCATATATATATATATATATATATATATATATATATATTATATATATATATATATAATATATATATATATATATATATATATATATATATATATATATATATATATATATATATATATATATATATATATATATATATATATATATATATATATATATATATATATATATATATATATATATATATACATTACAAAACTTGATTTAAATTTTTGATTTAACTTGGTTGCGAAATCAAAAGTATGTTAAAATAAACGAAAATGATTTGTTTCTGCATGATGATATAGTCTTAAAATTGATAAGTTGATATATCCATTTGCGGTTTATTCGTCTTTTAGAAACAGATTTTAGGAACTGCAGTGCACATGTCATGAAAGGTCAAGTCACATATAATGAAAGGATTTAATATTTTTTGTTATTTATTAAAAAAAAACTATATATTACCAGCAAACAACACACTCCTAAAAACTCTGGACGCATTATCGTTTCATATGTATTTAATAAAGACAATGCTTGATGGCGTTATTATTTTTATTCGCTATAATTCTGTAAAATTTGGTAAATGCTTTTTTTTTCTAAACTGCGCGCCTAATTTAATTTTTTTTTTTTTTTATACAAATTAGAATCAATAAGTATTTAAAGTCACTTTAATGTTTTTTATATAATAAATGTTTTTCTAAACAATGCGCTTTAAGGGGCCCTATTAACTAAAATTTATTATTAATTTCAGCATTAAGTTTTGGTTTGTTGCTGAAATAATATTAATACCAAATTGCATACGCATTTTAAATCAATATGTTTGTTTAATTATTAATCAATAATTTGTATAATTATTATCTAAGAAATGCAAACACTTTTATAAGTAAAAATTTTTTAAAATTAAATAATAATTTTGAATAACACTTAACGTCGTGAGCTACTATTTGTTTCATAGAATTTAAAAAATTAAAACTACTTTAATTCATAAATGATAAATAATAGTTAACATTTTTATTAAGGTATAATGCCTTAACGTTTGAAGGTAATTAAGCCATTTTAGTATATTTTCAAAATGTGTCTAAAGACAGATCAAGTGAATGCGCAATATTTTAAAGGCAATAAAAAATTGGAAAGTATCGATTCAGTTTTACCAGGATCTAAAAAATAACCAAACTTTTTAACTTAATCTGATTTTAATAGCTCTGCCTAAAATATACTTTTGTTTATATTTATATCTGATAATATGAATACGCTAATTTAATATTATTATTATTATTAGTCGAGTTACGTCATTTTCTAGGCTTTTCTATTTTACAGTAGTTGCTAGGCTTTTCTATACTCGTTTTTTTTTTTTTTTAATTTTATTTACTAACAACGCGTATTACGGGTTGCTTATTGCTAGTATATATAATTCATATTATTTAGTGGAAAGAAAATGAACGTTTAAAAAAAACAAAATTATTATAAAAATAATGTTTTTGAAATTATTTTAGCAGTGTCCGCAATATTACATTGTGATGTAAATTGCTCGTTTACTGATATAATTGCAACAATTATGCTATATTTGTAATTGCCCGTTAGCGTGGCAACTGCAAAAAGATCTTCCATTAGATAAAAAAAAGTAAAACATTTAGGGAGAAAAATAGCGCAATGCCGTTTTTCTAATAACTATTAAAGCAATAAAGCACCTTAATTACGATTAAAAGATGTTGCATTTCAATTTGCAGATATGAAGGCAAGAAAAAAATGTTTATATTTAATAAAAAATATTTTAAACAAAAGGACTTCAAGCATATTGGTTTTCATGTTATTAAATGAAGATTGTGTTTAAGATTAGGGTTTTGTATTTATTCTGTTCTCCTTTTACTTTTATAGAGTAAGTAAAAGAAGAGCAGAAAAAAAAAAAAGTAACCCAGCATTATCAAATTATATTGTAAAACGCATTTTTGTTGTATTTTTTTTTTACATTTTAATGTTTAGTAATGTTTTTTTTACAGCTTTTTTAATTTTTTAAACATTTTAAAAAATATTACAGCATCTACGTAAATTCTATTTTGTTATTATCTATTATTTGATTACTTTATATTTTAGTTTGCTTTATTAACATTTTTGTTTTATATATGTCTGTCTTTAAGAAGATTTCAATTTTTAATAATTGTTAAGATATCCGTGGAAACAACAATTATGACGAATATCAGTTTAAATCTCTCATTCAGTAAAATTTTTGTAACTTTGCTGTTTTATCTGTATCTACTTTTAATGTGTAATTAGTGATCAATTTAAAATAAGTTGCATTCAAAGTTAGTTGCACATTAATCGTATTTTATCATAAAATTTGCAGTTTGAGTTTTTAATTAGTGTATTTCAACTTAAATTAGATTTATTTTTAGTTATTTGAGTAGTATTTTATTTATACGGGCACTAAAAAATTACTTTGAAGTAAAAAAAAAAAAAAATTTTGTTTCAAAAATACGTTTGCACAAGCACTGTTTAAGTTTGCATAAACTTAAACATTTTTAAGTATAACTTTTTTTTGAAAAGTTAAATTAAAAGAGAAATACTTAAATTATTTAAGGAGATTATAAAAAGTTTTTATTGTCTATATATTTATAAATAGTTTTTTTTCTTGCATTTTAAGTTAAAAAATTCTGAAAATAATTGATTTTATTTAGTCAAGTGTTACAACAAACGAGGCAAAGTAATAAAAGTGAACCATCATTTGCAAATTATTTACATGTGTTTGATAAGCAAAGGATCCAAAATCGAAAAAAAACGGAGTCGAGAGAAATCGAGAAAAAACTCCGTCGGAGTCGAGAAAAAATCGGAATTTCAATAATATTTTGTTATAAAAATTAAACTATCTATTTGATAAAAAAATTAAACTCTCTATTTGATAACTAAACATTGTTCTTGTATTTTTATTTTTTAATTTTAAATATTTCGATTTATAATTCATAATAAAATTTTAAAAAATTTATATTTTTATATTTCTTTGTACATAAATATTTTTTATCACAATTTTTTAACGAACAAGTTGTATCTAATAATTGGCTTTCTAACCGGCATCGGTTAGGAAGAAGGCGTGAACTTTTAGTTAAATGCCCTTCTGCGTTGCTATGCAATAAAGACTTGTTGGGGCACCTATAGTAAAAATTAAAAAAAAAAATTTGAAAAAAAAAGTATTTATAAAAAGATCTTTTTAAATAATATTTTAAAAAGATCAAAA